TGACATAGTATCTTATCAAAATATAGCTAACCAATGATCGATTCATTTGATATATATAACTAGTCACCACCAAGAAGCCACATGCTTCTCACTCGCTTTATTTAAAGCCTCATTAATTTTCAAAACACCGTTGAAAGATTTTTATTAAATCATTACATTTAGTCAATTACTTTTGTGAATTTTATTCGTGGGTATTCACTTCTCATCATTGAGTCTTTACAATGATTTTCAATAGCATGAATATTCTTTAAATATTCAAATTGTTTTGCAAACGCCATAATCGGCTTCAACCCAATTTATCCACCTTAAACTTAGTGTATCCATCCTTACAATTATATAAAAGGATTTTCCACCTTTTCTCCTTCATAGATATATTTCTATGATTTAAAGATTTAAGAAACTTTAACTTTTATGTTAAGTTACCCCCACAATTCCTTAATTAGGAATTCTTATGTAACCTTGTAATATTGCATCTACAAGGCTTGAATTTCTAATATAAGTCCACAAGCACTCGTGTTAACCCCCACATTTGGGATTATTTTAGAATTTATCAACATGATAACCCCCACATTTGGGATTATACGTGAACTTAGAGTTCATCAATATGTTAATCCCCACATTTGGGATTTTACTTGAACATGGGGTTTGTTGAACTCATTCATAGTTTAATTTACTTTGATAACATTCGTGAAAGTTTAAGTATATTCAGATAGTGGTCGTTAAGTCACAATGACCTTTAATCTAACTATTTTTATTTTTGATCACACAATTTGATCAAGGTCATCTAATAGACCATTAATATTTTTTCAAGCATAAACCAACTCAATTGGTTCCATAATTGAAGTCAAATTCATCAATGAATAAGACTAAACATCTTGATCCACAAGATTTACTATTCCTCCAAACATAAGTGACTTATCGCTTTTGTGACGTAAGATAATATTGTATCATGTCAAAACATAAAGTATATGTTCACCTTATTAACACTTGGACAAAATCACATTTTGTCGTTTTCATATGCAATATTACTTAATTGCAGAGAATTAATTTAGGTGAATTAATTGAAGCTATCGATTCAACAAAATATGAAAATTTAACCAACTTATTTACCACATTTTACGACAAGAGGAAGGGATATGAAAGCTCATTTATTTTCAACATATAGGTGGCATTCCTCCAACATTATTATCCCATGCATATGAACATTCCGAATTTTTTGAGACTAATCAATTAATTTCATATTTCATATGCAGTAGCATTCATCAATATGAAATAAGCCATATCACACATGTCATCTGACTTTTCAAGTATGTTCATTAGATATATTAACAGATGCATGTAGCAATCAGCATGTGCTTAAGGAATTAATCACCGAACAATCACTATGCCAAATAGATCCCTTTATCACCACAATTGATTTAATGATCTCATGCATGTTGCCCCTTTCCATCATCAAATAAATTTCACATGTAAATCTGGCTTAATTTTCTCAATAATTATGGAAAAAGCACAAAAGAACTAACCCAAAATTAACTAATCAGACCGTTATTTTATTCTCTCTTTCCATATTTTCCACTCCCTTTAATAAATTTAATGTGAGTAAACACATGCAGCCATTTATGTACAGTCAAGTTCTCATGGTTTTATTCATTATTTCTAACAACTTTTCATGTCAGAATCATCATTTAATAAAACTGTTTTAAATTAATAATTTATTGATCGGCACTCTTTAATGGATTTCAATGGAAAGGATACAATTCTTTAATGTCATTTATTCCCAAAGAAATCGACAACCTGTAGGGATCAGAATAGATGATTAAAGTTACCAAAATAAACAGTTTTTATGCCGAGCAAAGAATTTACCAGATTTCCATCATACAGGCAACGGACATAAGTGAAAGGATGTGCACTTTCATTTAAATTTATAATTGCATTTAACTGTCAATTAACTAAAAGCAGTTACTGATACATGAAAGAATGCATATTTCCTTCAACAAAACATATGCATTACTAACCTTTAAATGCAAACGTAGTTACAAGCATGTATTTATTTAAAAGACAATTAATGTTTGAACATTTATTCAAACTATAAATACACAAATAGATTGTCTCATCTTTAACAAACTCGTGCACTTTTCAAATTGATATTCAACAAAGATGTAAACACAACGGTTTGCCTATCAAACATGCTTATGCCCGTTCACAAATGAGGACAGTTAATTGCCAAACAATTCATGCATGCAAGCAATGTTCATTTAGTGATTTTTGTCCTTTTTTCAGTAACATGTGTCAAGATCAGATTGAGCAAAATTCTGGTCCGATTTATCCATGTAAATTACACACACCGAAAAGGTTCAAAATTCATAGTCTTTGACACACATAGGCAGGCATTTTTGGCTATTCAAACATAGAATCATCATCTATCATTTATTGAATTAAATGAAATATATAGTACTTATCTAGAGTTTCTCAATTTGCGGTAAATTGGATTCAATCATTTCTTTCCAAACGTTGTAGAGTTCCTTTTCCAATGAAGTGTTGATTTCTGTAGCGGTATTAAATCTGGATTTAGAATTCATACTTGCCTTCACATGATGTTTTGTCCCATTAAACGTTTCAACTAAAATTTGGATCTCATCAACTTGATCGCGCCAAAATGAATTTTGTTCTCCATCACCAAATATCGTTTGAGATTGTTGGGAAATTATCACACCGAGGTTTGGAGAAGAAATCGAGAAATGGAAATTCAAGAATATTAAAATAATGGGAAAAACCTAAATAAATATAAAGGCTCAAACACTACATTATATCGCTGTCCTCAAACGATATTTGCCTCCTCTCGTATATAATTTTGGTGCTTAAAGGATTTTGCAGTATATGATTTGTAGGATTAATCAAGCATTGTAGAGAATAAAAGCACTTATGCACTTGTGCGACTCTCCAAAACTTGAAGAACACTGAGGGGATTTGAATATGGATGAAGAAGGCTTTGGTTTCTTCTTGTGGAATGAAAGAATGTTCATCATATGTTTGTAATATAATTTCTATATTTTTCTATGCCTCAATCAATGTCACGAATTGGTGCCAAAACCATGTTGAAAGGTTGAAAGAAACCCTCCAAAAGCCGCCAAAAAACTACTAGAAATGACCTCCAACGATCACTTGTTACTACCATGCGACCACATGGAGTTCTTCAAACTGGCCTCACCAGTTTCGGCTTGTGGCCATGCGACCACATGGCCATTTTACTATGCGGTCGATGGCATTCATCTGGAGCCTCCGGTTTTAGTTTTATATTCCAATTTTGTTCATTCCATTCCATACGAGTGTTTATTGATTTTGAACAGCATATTTTCAACAGCAACTATTAAAATCTTAATAGACATGGCATCTAATTCTTTATTCTACGGCTGTGAACAATTGGTTTTTTTGGATAAACATACAAAATAGTGTTTCTGTACTAATCAACCTTTTGAACTTCACTATTTAATGAAGGCACTTGTACACAAGATCAAAATAATGCAACTTCATTTATAGAAATAAATAAAACCCTTTTTATTTATTCACTAATAATCGAAATATCTATCGTAATATAGTAAAGTCCTAATATTTTAGGCACATATCCCAATAGTGACGGCTTCAAAATGGTGGTCCAGTTACTCTGATTCTGACCGTAATAATCTATTTGCCAATGCCCAAGGAGACGACAAATGGTGGGTAAGTGGGCTGAAAATCGACATGCCCGAATCCTTCGATAGTCTTTGACTCCAAGGAATTCATGGAGTGGTTTATGCGGTGGATGAAGTGTTGAAATTCACATAAGATATTCTAATCCAAATTCGACATTTTCAAGTAAAATCAACATTTTTAATAGCGCAAGTAGTAGCACCAACTTAAAAAACAAAACACAAGTTTGATACATAGGACTATAAGACTGCATACCACGAAAAAAATTATAAATTTTTTCTTCTCGTTCTCTTCTTTTTAACCACTTTCTACTTTTCTCAATAAAAAAAGATCAAAACTATATTAAAGATTATTATAAGATTTCTCTCTATTTCTTTTTCGTCATTCCACCAATTTTTCTATGAAAAAAAAAAGATCAATTTTTATTATTATTTCATTAGATTTCATAAAAAAGATTAATTTGTAGTTAATTTTTTTTATTGGTTGCTTCTTTAATTTAATAATTTTCTACAAATTTAAACCTATGATAATATTGAACATCAAAGATTTGTTTTCTTCGAAAAAGAGTATTTGAAATGAAAATATATATATTTCGTTTTTTGGTATTTTTGTTCATTTTTCCAATTCAGGTGACTTATACTTTTTATATTCTTTTACAAAATTGTTTATTGATATGAAAAATATAATTTTCTTATTATGTGTCTAGTTCATTTGTTTCTAGTAATTAAGTAGCAGTTGAGAATAATATAACATTGTATAACAAATAATTCAATAAAACAACTACACAAGAACGTGCAATAAGTTATATAATTAAGCATATAATTTTATATACAATTTTTATTTTATTTTTCTTAGATGATAAGGTCAAGTTATATAAAAGTTCATGAAAGACTTCTATTGATTTCGTAAAAGTATATAGAAGTCAACAAAATTCATTGAACTCTACAAAAATTTTATAAAAATTTTAAAAACCCAAATTAAATCACAATAATATCTAACACGTCATGTAATTTCGCATCGATTAGTAAGCAAAATTTTTTTATCCTTCGTCTGTATATATAAATAGTATTTTAATACCAAAATATAATAATATCCTTCATCATGCACAAGGGCAGATAATCATGTGTTTGAACATCACCTTTCGGTTAAAGAGAATATTATTAATCTTTACAGTATTTAAGCGAAGTGTGTACGCATCGGATTCCTCTAAATAAAGCTTCCAACTCACAGCGTTACTAATTAATCTTGAAATAAAATTAATAGCCATAAAATATGTCATACGTTACAATTAACGGCCTATAAATACCTTGGCGTGTGTCCTCCACACTTCTCCATGTATCTCAAACACACGAAAATCCCACAAGAAATCAGCTAAAACAACCCACAAAAACTTATTAATTAACCTTCCTTGATTTTTATTATGGAAAAAATCGAACAAAACAACCCACAAAAATCCCAAATTGAAATCAACCAAGTTGTGTCAAGAAATGATGATATTGAAGGGCAAAATATTGTGCCAGAAGTTGAGGAGGTCGAAGTTTATGATTATTCAAAGAGAGCACAGTGGCTCAGAGCTGCAGTTTTAGGTGCAAATGATGGGCTGCTATCAACGGCGGCGTTGATGGTGGGTGTTGGGGCGGTCCGGCAGGATGTTAAAACCATGGTCCTTGCCGGATTAGCCGGTTTGGTGGCGGGAGCTTGCAGCATGGCCATTGGAGAGTTTGTTTCAGTTTACTCCCAATATGATATAGAGATGGCTCAAATGAATAGAGAAAGTAGGGTGGAGAAAAGTGAGTTGGAGGCTAAGAAAAAGAAGTTGCCAAAACCTTTACAGGCAGCAGCCGCCTCGGCCGCTGCTTTCACGGTAGGGGGATTGGTGCCTTTGGTGGCGGCATTCTTCATAAAGAACTATCAAGTCAGGGTGGGAGTGGTGGTTTCCGCCGTGAGTTTGGCACTAGTTGGTTTTGGAGGGTTGAGTGCATTTCTTGGGAGGGCACCACTAGCGAAATCTTCCTTGAGGGTTTTGATTGGAGGGTGGTTGGCCATGGGAATCACTTTTGGTCTAACCAAGTTAATTGGGTTAACTGGTTTTAATTCATGAACTCTTCATTCGACTGTCGATTTCGTGAACTGAGTCAGTAAACCGATCGAAACGAGGCAGTTTTTCATAGTTGCCTTAGTTGAAGAACCATATTTTCTTGTAGATTAAGGAATAACTTTTTTTTCACTTTACGGGGTGTTTGAACTATATTATTTTGGTAATAATGCATTCTTGAATAGTGTATTGATAAGAAATGTGTTATTACAAAATAAGGAAAAAATTTTGATTTGCGTGTAATATTATTTTATTGAAGAATGTGTAGTTACAAAATAAGGAAAAAAAATTATCTGTGTGTGTGCACGCGTGTGATTTGACAAAAATTACAAATAAAAAAAACCTATCACTTAGAAAAATTTACAATAACATTCTAAAACCTTATAATGAAGCACACAGCGAAGATGTCCAAGTAATATTTAAATGGTTGCAATGGATCAGGATAACAGATTTTCTAGGTGC